TGATGTCCCATGCAGCGGATCGTGCGTAAGCGGATTCGCGTATCGCCAATCACAGAATTATTCTCTTAGATATGCTTGCGAAATTTGCAAATAGATCTAAGAGAATGATTCTGTGATTGGCGATACACGAATCCGCTTACGCACGATACGCTGCATGGGACATCAGCCTAAGTATCAGCCAATCAGAATTAAGAGTTCAAAAGAATTCTCGACTGTGATTGGCTAATTCTTATGGTACGTCTTGAGATTACTGTTACGGAAGGTGTGTGCGGCAGCCCTTAAGCCCATGACACATACAAGAACGTAAGGCCGTAGCACGCAAGCAGTAAGTGAATTAGGACCTGAGCACAATAGAGGAACAAGAATTAGATATTAAGATTTTAACCTATCAGAAACCGATTACATCGGAATACACGGTTTCTGATAGGTTGAAATCTTAATATCTAATTCTTGTTCCTCTATTGTGCGCAGGCCCTTAGCCAATCACAGCAGAGACCGTAAGGCCAGTAGCGAATCCAATGTAAGGGCCCAGACACAAGATTTGGCATAACGCATAAAACATAGTGCATAAGGGGTAACACCACTGTAACGGCCCAAAAAATTGCACTTTTTCGACATTTTTTTCATAATGGAAGGAAATGAAATAAAGTATTAATATTCCGTGAAGTTAATAAGCATATATTGAAGTACTTGTAAACATTTTTTCATAAAAAAATATTACAAAATGGCGAAATGGCAGCCATATTCCCGATGCGCCTTTAAAATAAAGAGGTCCGCGGCAAGCAGTGTAGCCGTTGGAAATTTGAACCTAGAACAAATAAAAAAATTCCTCATGATCTTCAATGGTATATCTAGTACAATACGTAGGGGATTTTAGAAATATTGATTTTTGAGTGATTGGCGAGCATTTGAATAAAGTCGTTCATTTTTCGATAAAAAAAAGTGACATTATTTGGCAATAAAAAATGTTTAAAGCAACGTATCGAAAATCCCGTACGTATTGTACTTCGAAATGTTGTTTTGAATGTACAGTAAAAAATTCGAGTGAAAATATTAAAAATTGTTTGAGTTATATTGCTTGCCGCGTTGAAAAAACGTGTTTCGAGAAAAACGCATTTAAAGTTTGGAGTTGTATTATGAACATGAAAAAATTGAAAATTCGACTAAAAAAAAATTTTTACCATTAGTCTGCAATCCCAGCACCGTAAAGCTGCCCTTCTAAGTTAGAATATTCGTCCTCCATTTCTTTCCTCGCAGATGTTATGCTAGAGCGCGCCTTTTTTGCCGCATCTGATAATTGCGCCTCTGTGTGCGTGATTCGTTTTGCGTCGGATTCGATGCACAAATTATATGCTTGGCCACCAATTTCCATTTCCAGAAGCTGCATAATGTGTATAATACTAGTCATTCCATCATTAAAGACGCATGTAGCGATATCCGCCGCTACATTTAGGACTGTCTTGCCGCTTGAGTACGATTTAGGAGCCAAATTCCACACTGTCGCATTAAAACTTTCGTTACTATTCTGCGTGTAACCGTCCAGGCAACGGTTTAGTAACTCGTCCCGACTCAAATCTTCATAAATAGGTTTTATAGCTTCGTAAACTTCTTCGGAAAGCGGTGACTTGTGACGGAAAGTGTCCAAGGTGTCTGCTTCTTGCGCCTTCTTCCAATTGCACCAAGATTTCGAGCACTTCTTGTGTTACGGATTTTCGTCAGTTGATAACTTATGAAATAAGGTCGCCCAAATTTCATTTTTCATGTCATCTAAGGATGTTGGGTTCCGACGAATGGCCAAACCATAATAAATAGTCAGCTCGTCTATTAATTTGGCACTTAATTTTCCTTTTCCTCCGAGGTTTTTCGATGATTTTTTCAGATTACGAAGTCGCGTTCCCATTTTTTTCTGTACGTGCGAGATGCATTCTTTCTTCTGTACTACTAAATCTTCATACGGTTTAGAGTCGATAATACCTTTAAATGTTTTACTATCACCATCCGCGATGTAGCTTGAATATTTGAGATCGTGCAAATCTTTTGAGCGATGGAACATCTCGATGACTACGTCAACTTCCATTTTTCCTGATGATCCTTCGTGATTCGCTTTACATACATCGGCGTGCGTTTTATACCATTCGTCATAGTCACAAGTGTCCAATTTTTTCTTCCACTGTTCGCAACTTTTACAATATTTAGATTTTACCTCAACATCGACAATTTGCCCAGAAAACCAACCAATCAATGACGTGATTCCAAAAAGCGAAGAAAATCCGCGTTTTCTCTAAGAACCATCACCGGAAACCGTTATTCCTGCAGATTGTCCATGTTCTTCAGTCATTTTCTTCTTTTTTTGTGCTGCTTTTTTCAAACTGGAATCTCTTACTGTTGATGTTGCGATTGAAATCATATTCACTAATTTATCGTAAAAAGATTGGAATATTGGACGTGGTAATTCCATGAAAGCACAAAACTTAATAATTCCATTTAGTCCAACTCCTACTAATCGCATAGCTAGAACGATTCGACGATTTATTTCGTATGCGTTTTGTATATATTTACAACTAGGAATTACAACTTCCGGGCAATTAGGACAAGCGATAACTATTTTGAAGCCTAAGCCACGAGGATTTCTTTCACGAAAAGTAATATCGGAATTACACTTTTTACATTTCACATGTTGTGAAATCACAGCAAAAACTGCCAAAAAATTTATAATTCTGTACCCGAATTCATAATTTACGTTCAAATCTTCACTCGTTCTCAACTTCTTGGCAGACGCACTCACGCCTTCTGCGTCGCCTTCAATCTCGAATCTGTTCTTCGGTCGTCTTTTCGACACGTTGCTTCGAAGCCGCGTTGTATGCAATTCTTTTGTACCTTTTTAGCGCGAATAAACTGCAATTCTTTTGTACCTTTTTGGCGCGAATAAACTTTATCACTCATTTTGCTATCTAAACACTCCGAAATTACACAAAAAACTGCTCAACTCGAAGCGCACACGTACAAAAATAAACGACGGTTATTGATTTCAAGCGGGAAAATCGTGTGTTTCGTACACGAAATGATGCAATACTGACGCGTAAACACGTGTTTCTAATGAAAATGCTTCTAAAATTACTCCTAGAGACATCTATTAGTGTGTCACATAACTTAGAAATCAATAAGCAAGGTATTACGCACTACTCTCTCGACAGGTATCCACCCGGCGCAGCAGGTAGCCGTTTCGGAGTCGCCCGACTCGTTTGGTACACAGCTCGGAATTTCGATGAAAAAAATTAGTTTCACGTATAAAAGTTTTTTCCTCGTATTCTACAGGGTTCAAAGGATTTTTGAAGCCCAAAAAAAAATTGATTTTTTGAAAATTTTACAGTGGTGTTACCCCATAATGGAATCAACCAATCGAAATTCTTCTTTTCCATGGAATAAGAGGAAAGGAAAGCTTCTGATTAGTTGATTCGCTTATGCACTATGCGTTATGCGTTATGCAAAAGTGTGTGCTACGGCCTATACAATTTCCTTACTGATTACGCCTTACGGCCTTACGTTTTTCTATGTGCTCCCGGCTTTAGCGCTATTTTCGTTGTTTATCATTCTATCTTCGTTGTTTATTAGACGTAAAACAAGAATAGAATAACACAAATAACGCTAATAGCGTCTCCTTGAATGCACCTTATGTCTACAAAGGTCATACTTTTTTTTATATACAGGGTGATTCAGAATAACCTTTTGTCCTTAAAGGGACATATTTTTGGCCGTATTCTGAGACGATTTTTCCTTTACGAAAATTTTGTCCGAAGCAGTTTTCAAATTACAAGAAGAAATAGCGTATCACGGGTCGCGTATAGGAGACGGGCAGGAGCGGCTCTCACGGTTAGACGCGGACGCTTTATGCACGGGGTGCACACATTGACCGGATGCATTTACACGTTTATAAAAACACATTTCTTCTTTTTTTCCCTTCCTTCTATTTTTCCCCTCTACCACACTATCTCTTTTAGCGTTTTCGGCCCGACCGGGTTTGCACCAACCTGGGTTGGATTAATGGCGTTTTGCGCTCTCCTATTGGTAGAGCGTGTGACATCAATCAATAGGAAAGATTAATCCAACCCAGGTTGGTGCAAACCCGATCGGGCCGAAAACGCTATTTGTCTTTCACATATTTTAAATATTTCATTAAATTATAAATTAGAATGATGAAATTAGAATGGATATTGAACCCTTTGAGTATTGGATTGCATTCTAATTATATTGATAAAATTGTTAGAGAAATGTTGTAAAAGAGCACAATTGGACAATAATTACGTGCGATGAGTATTATAAAACTATTGATATACAAATCATACAATTATTTCAGTATGTCGAATTCTAAGAGCGTTTTATACAATTAGACATACTGAAATACTTGTTAGACTTAATTGTATGACAATAGGCATCATAATACTTGTGGCACGCAATTATTGTTTAATTTCTCAATTTTACAAAAAATTTCTCTAACAATTTTATCTGCGATATCGCGTTCGTAGTATTTATTACATATTTATGACAAGTTTTATGAGAAACGCGATTGTACTTTTTAGCATTCGAACAGTTATAAATGTTTAAAACAAAAATGTAAATTTACACTTTAAAAGCTTATTATTATCTCAATTATAAAATTGTTATTACCTTGTAGATGTTCAATGATTCCATTTTGCTCTAGCTTCTTGAAACAATTGGAAGAATAAGTTTAGGTCCACCGTAATAATGCTCGACACAACTGTTCACTGCAATTCATTTCCATCACTCAAATATTAATGTCTCTTAAGTATGTAGATATGTCACACGTTTCCGCGATGAGATTCTTTTATAAATTATGTCACGGTTCAACGTATTGACACAATTCGATTACATTAACTTGACAACACGAGGAATTTATTAACCGATTAATCAGTTAATCACTTACAATCACGAACGATTGATATTCTGTGATTGAAAATCATACGAAACTTTAAAACACGTGTGTAAGCCCGCTCACAACAGCACAACATGTGTTACATGCGTAACGTGCGGCAAGCTGCTGACTGACTTTCTTGGTTATGAGCAAAGATATAAGAGAATGGACTGCGCGATCCGTGTGTCAAAATGTTCGACAGGGATGAGAGAGAGGGACCGTGGCAGACGGCCATTACTATCTCTTTCCATTCAATGATGTAATGGGAGAGAGATTGAGAGGGGAATTGGCCGTCTTCCATGGGGTGATCCCGATTGATCACGGCTCGATTGGACACCACCAATCACAGCGACCGGTGCTTAGGAGCTTTGTAGATCAAGCGCTGTGAGTGGCTCGTGTCCAACTGGGTGCCACCCCTGAGGCGCTGTACTCATTGCACTCATAACCAAGAAAGTAAAGCAGGGAGCACAGACTCTTGCATAACGCATAACACATGAGGCATAACAAATTGAACCAACCAGAGTTCTCTATTACATAGAAGGGAAAGAAACGGAGAACTTCGATTGGTACATATTCTTATGCATTACGTGTTATGCGTTATACAAGAGTCTGTGCTCCCCGCTTTAAGGTCGCAACACACATTCTTGCATAACGCATAATGCATAGTGCACAAAGGAATCAACCAATCGAACTAAATGTATAAACAACCATGGGCATTTGGAGTCAACGCTAGATATTTGTTGCGTAAAATTATCTTATATTTATAACATATATTATTACACTAATTTGAACGTTTCGGCTAACAATTTTGAGCCATCCTCAGCAATAATAATTACCGCTAATCATCCCTATTGTCTAGCTGCATCTCGCACAATCGCAGCTCCGACCATACTACAATTGTATTAACATGGAATATCATGATAATGGTGTCTGTTGACGATGCTTGGATTCACTTGCATTTGTGATTGGAGATCTGCTTGAGTTCCACTATCAATTCCACTCAGTTAAGCAACTGGATGGCACAACATTGACTATGTTGAAGATGGTTGTCTCTCACCACATTTCCAATACAATTGTAGTATGGTCGGAGCTGCGATTGTGCGAGATGCAGCTAGACAATAGGGATGATTAGCGGTAATTATTATTGCTGAGGATGGCTCAAAATTGTTAGCCGAAACGTCCAAATTAGTGTAATAATATATGTTATAAATATAAGATAATTTTACGCAACAAATATCTAGCGTTGACTCCAAATGCCCATGGTTGTTTATACATTTAGTTTGATTATTTGAGGAGTCCATTGATTGTAATTTTCTTCATGTATTGCAACCAATCGAAATTCTTCTTTTCCATGGAATGGGAGAAAAGGGAAGATTCTGATTAGTTGATTCGTTTATACACTATGCGTTATGCGTTATGCAAAAGTTTGTGTTGCGGCCTTCAGTCAGCTGCTTATCGCACGTAACATATGTTGCGTTGTTTTGCATGGACTTAGGACGATATTTCATTTGTGCGTTTTTGTCGTACGACAAGCTTTTTCTGCGTGTTGATTGGCTATAGGATAGAGAGATCCGAGGACCTCTCTGTCTTACACATATTTGTCGTACGACAAAAACGCATAAATGAAATATCGGCCTTAGGTTGCGATTAGAGACCCTCTAATCAGAGTCGCGACACGAGGAACGGAGACTCTAGTTAGAGACACTCTTTTACGGTCTCTTTATATTAAAAATTTCTAGTTTCAGCAAAATCACAAGAAAGAGAGAAGAATATGTTGTGCCTCTTTCTAACCTTCATAGTTCTTGTATGAGTCATGATCCCGTAAGATACGTCTTTCTATAGTACGACTTTTAGAACATTATTAAAAATTATTGCAAAATGGTTGGGTGTGCAGCCCCATTTTGCAATAATTCTGCAGCCAAAGGCTACATAATGATAATATTTCCGCGTGATGTTGAACGTTGAGCATTATGGGCAACAAATGTTGGAAAAAATGTGCGTTCAGGGAGATGCTATTAACGCTATTTCTGTCATTCTATGCTTGTTTTGGTTGGAAAAATTGATTCTTTACAAAATAGATTAGTTTGCGAACGATTTTTAACGTATCGATACGCACATCGCCTATTCCTACAATGGCTACGTTCGGAAATGTCGCTCGGATGCCTCCGATGCCTCGGATTTATCATCCGTCCTTGTTTAACATTAAATGTTAAATAAGGACAGATGATGAATCCGAGGCATCCAAGCGACGTTCCCGAACGCAGCCAATATTGACATTCGAATATTGACGGGAATTGCTGAAAAATGACGAACCAATCAAAATTAGCTGTTCTCGTGTCGCGACTCTGATTAGAGGGTCTCTAGTTGCGATCAAAATCTCACTACAAATACTTTGAAGCATTTCGTTGACCAATTAGAAGAAAGAATTTTGCAAATTAACCAATCAAAAATTGCTTTAAAGCATTTGTAGCATTGCG